TAGGCACTGCCCGGCTCCCGACTGACCCTGGGTGGCTTGCAATCGAACAAGACACACTAAGCAATAGAGAAATAGGGAGGGGGGAAAACAACAACAGAACAAGATGGGATGCTGATTCCTCGGTGCCAAAGTGAACTGTAGTGAGGCAAGGCTGATGCGCAGAGATCCGCCAGAGCCCCCGGGATGCAGCCTCCAACGTTAACCTGAAGCGCAAGCAGCAAGCAAGGAGCAAATTGGGCATGATTTTTTCGCTGCTCTGCGGTGGAGGCCGAAGGGCCGTCTGCAAGGAGTGTCACTTGTAGGGCCAACTGACATGGCAAAGGCTGCCGGGCTCTCATTTATCAACTGTGCTCCATGGTGTTCCTTTGTTGCCAAACAGAGATTCTTTGAAAAATTGCAGCTTTCTCGCTCTTGGCTTCCCCTCCCCAAATAAAAAGCCCCCTTTTTTGTCAGGATTTAATTGCCCCTCTTTCTTCTGCGCTGGCAGTGCCAATATTGTGACATGCCCAGCGCCTAATGCAACAGTAATGTTTGTTTACTGCTTGGCGCGGCCGAGGGAGGCAGGCGAGGGAGGCCTGGCGTGTGAATGGGCTCATTGAAAAGGGCCCTTGGCTGCTGTCCCAGGACCCTGCCTGTTTTCCTGAAGCAAAGCAGGGCCCGGCTCGGCTGAGCACCGTTGGGCTGGATCAGCGGCCCTCCTGTCAGCCTTCCCAGGTAGACCAGGCAGGAAACGCGGCCAGATGGGCTAATCCACATTACTGTAAAGCTGCATCGACAGAATCCCTCAAGTCTGAAAGAGGATCTCTCCCCCGTCCCCTTTACAGCCCAAGAAACTAGGGAGGGTCCTCCTGAGACGTTTGCCAGACCCCCATTCCTGCTGCGGGCTGTGCCCCCTCTTATCTGGCCATTTCCTTGGCTGCGTCTCTTGGCCCCGTCTCCCAAGGCCATTCCCACAGACCTTTACGTATCCTGTCTGGGAGAGCTGCCCCAAAGACGCTGGCAAGCCAAACAGAAGCTTGGTGCTTTCTGTTGCTTGGTGGTAACTTCCAGGAGTCGGGCATGCTGCTGTTGAATATGCAGGTTCCATCTAGCTGTGGCGTTTTATAGCTACCGTCAGGCTGTGCTGGCACATCTTTTAACAAGGAATTACGACTGTCAACTGAAACTGAAAACGGGCGGTTCTTCTTCTTCTGCAAAGCTGTTTTAGTTATTAGGCAGTCAAAATGTCCCGGGAGCCACGGTTTGGCCAGTTGGTTAAACCACAGCCGAGCCAGCTGCTCTGCGACTCCCCCGGAGGAACGAGCCCCGCCTTGGTCTAAGGCCGGAGAGGACCCTCTCTGCCACAGCCACCACCCTGTTTCCCCAGCCTCCCTGCCAACGGCCCTCCACCACAGTGTCCGGCATTCGGAGAAGTGAAGCAGCCCCAACCCATTAGCCTGCCTTGGGCCAAACGGAGCCCCGGATCCTGGGGTCCCCCCTTTTCTCTGCCCGGAGGGGCTTTCTCCTTGCCTGGGAAACAGGTGTGTTTCCCCTCTCAGCCTGTGCGGGGTGCCTCCTTCTCCCCACCATGTGTCCAGGTGTGAATGTGTGAGTGGGATGCCTCCCCCTCCCCCCCCGCATTTCACACTCTGCAGGCACATGGCAGGAATTTGAGTATCCCCCTCCCCTCCCAGTTCCCCGTCACCTTTCCTGTTGCTTCTGACACCTCGGTCTGGCAAATGCATCGGAGGACAGAAAGTGTGTCCCTGGGAAAAGCATTAAGGCCCTGCGTGGGGCGGGGGGGGGCGGCGAGAAATCCCTGACCTTTTGAGAATGGCTGGATTCCTTCCAGGGACACCGTCCCTGCCTGTTGCCTGAGCAAACCCTGCCAAGGCAAAGCAGACCTCCAGCTCCGTGGTCTCTTCTTCCCTTGGGGATGATCCTCCTTCCCCTCTAAGTTTCTGGTCCTCAAGGCTGCGATGAGGGGAGTCAGAGTGACGCCCACAGGCGTAGGGGCTGGTCTTGTTCCAGGCTCAACCCTTCAACCCATGAAAAAGAGATGAAACGGCCTCCAAGCACTGTGTTTATAAGAGTCCTTATAAAGGTGGAGTGTTCTGGACGACAAGGGTTTTTCTAGCTCAAGTGTAATGGAAATTTCAAAGGGAGGGAGAAAACGGTGGGAAAAGTTAAGGGCCGCTTCTGTGGAGGGATCTGTACTCTGTGGCATCAAAGCAGAACCAATTATCCACAACGTGCAAATATTTATTCCTGCAACTTTCTGGACTACGCAAAGCTCGTAAGATTTCTCCTCTTAATTTCAGCAGAGAGAGAGCAGGCTGTTTTTTCCCCCTGCTGATTATTTTTGCAGACCTTACACCCAGCTGCCCCATCATCTTCCTCCAAGGTCTCTTTCCTCTCCCCTTTGGTTTCTTTTCTGTACTATGGCATGGGACATGGAACTGATTTGACCACACGCAGAGGATGCAAAGCCCATCATCCTGCGCTGAAGTGGCAAGAGTCTCCATGCCCGAAGGAAGGAAACATGTCTGTGATGGAGATAAGCGGCTGGGCCTGGTTTCCTACGAGGGGAGGGCAGGGTCTGGCTTTCAGGCTGCGGTCAGAACGGGTAACGCATCTCCGCTCTGGAAAAAGCGTGGGGTCCAACCTTGCAGCCGCTGAACAAGAAGCGTCAGTTCAGTTGGTCAGATTTTCCTCCGCCCCCCAACTCTGGTGGGGAAAGTTTCTGAATTTCTGCTGATAAGACCCCCTCGCTTGGGGGCAAGAGCTCAAGCAGAATTCCAGACCGTCTCCCGCTCTCCCCCGGCCTGTTCCTCCAAACGCTGGGGGGAAGGGGGGCGCTCCTGCAGCTGCGAGATTGCAATGCCCGTCATCACCAAGTCAGGCCCCTGCTGGGCAGGGCTGAGGAGGGGGAGCCACGGGGCAGGGAGCGAGGGGCAATACCTGCCAGAGCCCCCCTTGCCAATTTCCTCCTTACCCACCTTACTGAAAACAATCAAAGGGCACAGAAAGAATCTCTTGCCGGCCCCCGTTCCCCGTCCCGTTGAACTTGGGAAAGATTGGAGGGTTGAGTTAAAGAGGGTCCAGGAGCAAGACAAAGTAGGAACTCACTTGGGGAGGGGAGCAGCAGGGAGACACCCTCTGAATGCCCCACTCCAAGGGGACAAAGTCATCACGAAGGCCTTGCCGGGCCAAAGAGCTGCTGGTGCCTTGCTAAGATTTTGGCCAGCATTTGGGGAGAACCGTCTGTGATACAGACACCACAAAGTTCCTCTGAGGCAGGTACAGAGAGGGTGCATTAAATGTATTTATTTATGTATTTATTTATTTATTTATTGGAAAACTTTGTACGGCTGCCCATCTTAAACAACAAATTAAATGACGTCACTGCCGTTTTTTCTTAATGGACCTCGTTAGCCGATTCCTCGACCGCCATCCTTCATTCCACCACAACCCTCTCGGCCAAACTCCTCTGGAGCGGGTCTGGCAACCTCCCCCAACCTGATATGCTCTCGATGGACTACCACACCCATTGGCCCCAGCCAGCAGGATGGGAGCTGTACTGAACGCACCTGGAAGCAGTAAGATTGGGTTGAGGTGACATTTGGGATTTTGTAGGGCCTTTTAGGTGCGCTGGAAAAGGGAGCGGTGAGTTTCCAGCTCTAGTCAGGCTGGGTCCCAAGGTGGTGTTGGTATTTATTCATTTATTCGTTTATTTATTTAAATTTATTGGCTGCCCAGCTCCAGCGGACTCTGGAGTTAACTCTTTCTTTGCAGTGATGCATTTAAAATATAGCAGGACTTGCCCCTCCCTGGGCCCAGTGGGGTTTCCCGGGCTAGTGCAGACCTTGCTCTGAAACCAGATGTGGTTCGGTTTTGGTTCAGATACAGGAATTGACTTAACCATGGCTCAGTGGGACGTGTGAACCAGGTGAATACATTCAATCTCTGAAAGAACCACGGAGGCACCCGATCTTCGTCACCCTACCTGCCCCACAGCAACCCCATTCCCCCATGGTAGCAGTTCAGGGATGTTTTGAAATGTAGCTGCCAAGTTTCAAAAGTGGGTGGGGAGACCCGTAATGGGGGGGGTCACAGTGCTAACGGGGGGCATCTACTGTCCATTGCAAAACTCCCTTCCCTTCCATCTGGTGCCACTTTCCAGATGCTTAACTGCAAGTCCCATTACAGCCTCCGGGGCATAATGGAGTTACAGCCGACACATCTGGAGGGCAACAGCAGCAGCGGCAGGGTGCCCATCCAACCAAATTGGGCTCAGGGACCAGTGCAGGTGACAGCGGCGCTACGGCCTGCCTCAGCGCTTCCCAATTTACAGGAGCCACAGCTGGCAGCTTCTGGGCCGAAGGGTGCGGTGGGTTCAGGTGGCAGGATCTGGCAGCTGAGGCACAAGAGGGTTGGTCCCCCCGTTTCATTAGAATAATAAAGCCATCAACGGTTTGACCGAGCAACAGCTCAAACTAGGGCCATGTGGCAGGACCAGACAGAAACCAGGCGAGAGGAGTCCCTCCCTGGGGTGCCCCACTGCAGCGTGCCCCAGCTGCATCCCCCTTTGGCTACTTGCCAGGGCAGAAGGGCCCCAGGTCAGGTGGGAAGGGTGGCCTTTCTGCGGTCTGCTGGGCCCCTGGCAGCTTTGGGGCGATGTAGGAGGAGGCATGTGGGTCTCCGGGAGTCAAAACTCAGGAGGGAGCTCCTTTTCCAACCAGCCCATTTTATTAAAGGCAGAAGCTTTTGCAGGCAAAAAAAAGGCGAAAGTGAAGTTAATAAAACGGGCTGGTTGGAAAAGGGGCTCCCAGACTCCTGATCTTTGGTCAGCTCGGGTTTCCCGGACTGGGGCTAGGCGGTAATTTGCCCACTTAGACTCCGCATGGCAGCCAGTTTGGGGTAGTGGTTAAAGGCAGCAGGCCAGGAGGGGGTCCTGCCTTCGGCAGAAGGAAGGCCAAGGCAGCCCCCTTCCAGAAACGCCGCCAAGAAGACTGCAGGGACGTGTCCAGGCAATCGCCAGGACTCGAGATGGACTCGAAGGCAGCAAAGTGGCTTTTGATTTTGGATATCCATGGAAAGAAACGAAAGAGCAAGGCAAGAGAAACTGAGCTAAACTCTCCAACAGCCAGAAAGTGAGTTGGATGGTGAATTTCTATTCCATTTTAACCCTTCCTTAATTGTTCATTTTCATTTCTGTGTATGTGTGTGTACAGTCTTTCCTGTGCTCTCTTTGCTTCTAAATTTTGCCCAGGTAGGAAGGAAGAGTATAAATAAAATAAATGCATACATTGAATGGTTTATTTTTTCACAGGAAAAGCAGATGACGACCATTTAATAGTAATTAAATAATAATAGTAATCACTAATGGTAATGATACGGAATTGACTTTGAGCTTCTCCTGCAATTCTATCCGGGTCTCACAGCAAACTTTTTAACCCTATTTCAGTAGGATTCCAATTACTGTATTGTGCTATTAATTCGTATTCATAGTTTGCCATTAATTAATACGAGGGACCCCCATCAGCTATGCTGAGTTTCCTCTCTGTCTGTTAATTAATTTTAATATCAACCCTCCATGGGGAGCGATACAAGCAAGTGGGCACAGCAGAGCCCTCTGCGGCCAGGACAAGAAGTTCGGGGCACCTGAAAGACTAGCCGATCCGTGCATAATAAATCGTATTTGCAATTATGTACCTAGTCAACCAAGTTAGTTTGGCATCGCTTTGAACAGGGTCGGCTGCATCGGGCCCCTCCCCCCTTCCACACACAGTAGTCCGTGGCTTGCAGAGGGGGGGCGAAGTCTCCGGAGGGGGGGCAGGTGTTGCGATTAGCATACAGCTGAGGCCGGCCCGCTGCCTCCCCTCCCCCCGCCCTTTCAGGGACTAAAACCGGGCCGTCGTGCCCCCCAGCCCCCCCGGAGCAGCTCCTTCACTTATTCAGCCCTTGGGGGGAGGCTTTGTGAGGTCGCTCTTGGCTGAAATAAAGGCAACGGGCTTTGCCCGGAAGGGACCCCCTTCCCCTTCCCCAGCCCGTATCGCG